TTGTTCAAGTCTCCAACTGTTAATAAAAAAAAAAAGAGAGAGTCATTACCTTCAAATAAAAAGAAATTGTGGATTTGGAATAATGAAAAATGAAACTTGATTTTATAGAATACTCTAAAATCGAAAATACCATTAGTTCTGCTTTGGAAGCAAATTGAACAATTAGCTCTGTACTGGCAGTTTGGACAGAAAAAAAAAACTTGATGTGAAAATTGTCCCTCATCTGTGTTAAGGAGCAGTTTTTCTCTTGCGTAGGAGATTTCTCCATATTTTTTGAATCGTCTGAATCTTTCCTGTTTGTTGACTCACGTGGTCCATGAGCTCCCGCACCATGCCGTTCCATTGGCCCGTGCTCTCATCCAGTGCGCCGAACTTCCCATCTTCCACTAATCGCAACTCATAGCGGAAACCGAGGATGGAAGAGAGCTCCCTCAGCAGGTCGATACAGTAGCCTTCGAAACGGTCGTTCCCATACAGAGGCTTGTCTGACTTCTTAAACATCACATACGGCTCCTCCTGTACAGGGAAGATATATTAGTGTAGAGGCTCAGAGGCCTGTGTGTTAGATTAGATTGTTGTTTTGTTTTTGGACTTGTCTCTGTCTACCAGTATAGTGGATACACGCAGGGATTTGTTAGCCAGAGAGTCGGTGATGTTGGACGTCTTGCTCTTGTGAGTTTCTGTCATATTCAGGCCGCTGGGAGGATCCCACGTTCCAATCTGTTGAAACAAGTCAGCGTCAAGTTCATATCACCTTGTCTTGTCTACAGATAGGAAATAAAATGCTTTTGACAGTTTCATGTTTCTGACATCAGCATCTACATCAATGAGAGATACACCTTTTCCAGCCCTTCCTCCTTCAGACTGATCACGTCCAGGTCGAAATCTGTTCTCAGCCCATTGGTCTTGTTGAAGAGAACACGTCCCGTCAACCCGTCCCAGTGAGCCTGCAAACAATAAAATACAGCTTAATAATCTAAAATCCTCAGCTATCCAGCGCAGTCATTCCATTAACCTTAAGGTATCGTCTTTCTCAACAATATCAATCCAACCTCTAAACATAAAACTTTTTCTTCCCCAATTACGGATTCCTGCTGGCTCTCTCTCCGCACTGTCTATCTCAACAACATAACAAGAAACAATAAAGAAGCGGGGACAGAAGAAAGTTTGACAGGTAAGACTTCATTATGCATGTGGTTCATTGTGCTTGAAGTTTCACTTCAAAGCCATTGGAGGAACAGACGGGCATGGAGAGCGACAGCAGACACAGGAGGGGGGGGGGGGGAAATTACCTGCAATGATACCATCCAGAGAGCTTTGCAGAACAAAGCAAATGGCTGACCCTGACTGGAGTTAAGGAAAGGTACAGTGGCTTTGATATAAACACGAGTGGAGATATGCAGGGAGAGGAAGCGGAAGAAAGGGAATGAAAGATCACAAAAAAAGCATGTAGTTATTGTGAATAATGCAGCGCTTATTTAGAGTACAGATGGATCAGGATATTTGGGTGTTGAAACCCTGCGGAAAATGTGTTTGGGACATTTATATCATCATCACAATTTTGTGCAAATAGCATAATGTGCAATTAAGTTCATTAAAAGCATCTCAGTCATTTTACAAAGTGAAGACTCGCAAACACGTGACTGCACAAATCAATACATAACAACAAAGCTTCTGGGTTCAGCAGATCCCAGAGGTCAAAGGTCAAGACAGAGTGTGCACTGATGCTAGTGATGGACTCGTACCTCTTTGATGAGGCTGATGAAACGCCCACCAAAGCGCCACGGCTTGTGGCGATTGCACTGCAGAGAGCTGACGGTGATCTGCTGCGACTGCTGCACCGCCACCGCCACCACATGCACGGCGTCGTACATCAGCGCCGCGTCCGTCTGCAAACAGGAAGGTAATATTATTAGCCATTTTAGAGCAATTGTCTATCGCCTTTGTCCACATGACCTTTAATCCGTCCATTTATTCACCTGTCGAGGAGCATAAGAAATCGTGTGAAGTCCCGGGTGACTTGCTTTACTCCTTAGTCGGGACAAGGGAACGTAAATTAGGAGTAATGCCAGAAGTAAAAGCCCTGCACAAATGGCACAGTGTCTCAGCCTGTTAGTAAAAATACCCGGCCACTGTCTGAGGCACTGCGAAAGCTCCGCCAGGGAGAGTCTCTCAGTGGAAGGCCGGCCTGTCAGTGTGAAGACTAATGGTTCCTGATGGGTGTGCCTGTTCCCCAGAGAGAGGCAACGCAAAACAGGCACCAGTGCAGATGGGACAACTCTGACTGGCACACTTGTTATAACACGCTAAATATACACACAGAGCATAGCTGGGATACATGAAGAATGGTGCTTCACATAACGCCAGTAATAAGTCATCAAAAGGAGTAAATGCTCGACCTCAAATCTCACACGCTGCTGTGCTGAGAGTTATCTTTATCTTTTCCTCGTTGCCTCCAACATGTGCTGTGCTCATACACTCTGTCCACACAGTTTGAGACACTGCACGTTTCCCCAGATCAACACAGTGCAGCTTACAGCTCAGATCCTCTTTCCATGTGTGGGCACAGGCTGAAACACACTGTGGTGATCTTATTTGACAAGTCCTGGATGACCAATCGGCGCAGGAGCATGAAAAAAAATGACTTTGAGACCACAAAGTATCTGCAGCTATAGGGTCTTTTGCAGATGTGCTGGCTGTCGGGGAGAATGATCCGTGCTTCAGTACAGCTGGGCGCAAAAGCAGGAGGAAGCTGAGCCGCTGCTTAGCGCGTATCACTTCCTTATGTTGTCTCCATAGGCGCAGTGAAGCATACATGCCATCCACGTGGGAGAAGAAGGAACACGAGGGGTCTGGGAGGGGCAAAAAAAAATTATGCTTCATGTACAATTTATTCAAAACCTTATTTATGGTGGCAGGCCAATTAAAGGAATAAATCTACCGTCCAGCAGGGAGGAGGGAGGAAAGGCGGGATAGAGCGGATGGAGGGGAGCTCACGTGTTGTTTGCCGCGGTGGGCAGATTGTCAGTTTTTAGTTTGCCCCCCCCCCCCCCAGTTCTCCTGTGCTTTTGGAGTTGGTGGCTGCTGATGTCAAAGGCAGCAGCAGATCAGAGGATGGGAGACCAATCTCTGCA